GGTCTAAGAAAGTGTAAATTATTATAATCAATCTATGGACAGTAAACTTTTTAAAAATGTTTCTTTTGCATTTTCAGTTTTATAAAATGATGTATTATAAAGTCAGTTATTAAATTACTGACCCTGTGCCCTATGGACTAAGTAAGGGTGCAGAATGCAGTTCTGTTTTGAAGAGCTGTTTTAAGGGAACATGCATCACTTTTGGATTCAAAAACAACTGTACACATACATGTTTGCAGTGTCTTCACTGAAAATTAGAGATAGAATTAGTTGAAGAGACTTCCTTAATTGCTACATTGTTTTACCCACTGAGCAATATAAAAAACTAAAAACATAGATTAAGAATTCGCTCACTGTTTATTCTTCTTAAAACGAGTGAAACCTTTTTAATGGAATGGAGTGAAGACAATTCCTGCCAACTCAAAATACAGTACAGCTAGTAAAATGTTGAAACATTGTTCTAAATCACCTTTGCTCCATTAGCTAATTATTTGGACACTAAATGCTTCAAACATATGAAACCTCATCCTAATGATTTCTGAAGAGCAGTTAAAACCATTAAAATAGGTAGGCATGTTAAGATGAAAATTAACATTTTGGGAACAGAATTGTGTCTGTAAAGATGTCATTGGTTTTTATTACAAGTGGATTTTTTGATTTATACTTTATAGCAAGTGTTAAGGCACACTGATTTATCCTCATTGAGGATTATGGTCTGTGACCACACTAATATCCACCTGCATAAATGCCAAATAATCAAAGATCAGAGAGCTTATAAAGTACCATTGTTTTTGTCATCATTTTCTAAATTTCTTTCTCTCTTGGTTTTGTCCTCATTGAAGTTCCAGCGGTTTGGAGTTATTTTTGTTGTGTGAATGTACTGAAAGTGGCTCTGCTGTATGTTGCAGCATTCTCCATGTCATTTACAATGGTCCATATCAGACACATTTGTAGGAGAAATCCAGGAACACATTTGGGGTTATGGAATGACATTTTGTAAGTCTCTTTGGAAAGTAGGAAATACAATCTGCCATGTCCTAAAATATCATGGCTTGTCTCTAAGGGGTTTGATAGGAGAAATATTTAGATGTACCCTTTTAACAGCCAGTCATTTTGATTTACTTATAGAAATCAAGTGAATAGAAGACAACGTAATTCAGGAAATTTTATTCTAATATCTAATAAAAACAGTTTGAGTGGTTGAAGACATCTGCATGAAATTGTACCTGGGTGCATTACTTGATATAACTCTCCCATAAAACTGTCGTATTGCATTTTTTCCCTTTTCTTGGCACCCCTTTAGAAATGTACCGTATTCTCATTTTTCACCCGTTTCAGCCATGGGACATTTTTCATAATATTAATGTAAAGATGTTTGTGTTACTGTTTATAAATTGCAATTGTAAATAAATTAATACAGTTTGCTCAAAACTTTGTTCTTAAAGCCAATGTCTCTCTTTCCTTCTTTTCCCTATTTGTAAATCTCTTAAGGCCACACAATTAGAAAATCAAAGGCTATTCTTAGAGTAGAATTTAAGTGCTCACTTTTCAGGATTATAAGTATTTCTTTTCATCTAGATGTGGCGGCGTAAAGAAGTAGTTTAAACTAGTTTTAAGCAAATGACACTAAATGTTACATGTAGTAAATTGCCTACTACCATGAACTACACAGTTAAAGGATTATTTATGACTATTAAGTGAAAATACATTTCATGGAATGTTCTAGGCACTTGTGTAGCTCCTCCGCTCTTCACTGGCCCACTGACCACAGAATCTACAAGAAACTCAAATTAGCAAGAAAAAAACAATCACATCAAAAGTGCACTAAGGTTATGAATAAACAGTTCTCAGATGACATACAAACGGCCATCAAACATAGGAAAAAATATTCAGCATCACTAATAATTAGGGAGATGCAAATAAAAACCACAATGTGATACCATCTTACTCCTGCAAGAATGGCCATAATAAAAAAATAATAAATATTGGCATGAATGCTGTAAAGAGGGAATGCTTGTATGCTGCTGGTGGGAAGGTAAACTAGTACAACCACTATGGAAAACAGTGTGGAGATTCCTTAAAGAACTAAAAGTAGAACTACCATTTGATCCAGCAATCCCACTCCTGGGTATCTATCCAGAGGAAAAGACGAAAAATACTTCTTTTCATCTTTTTAATGATGAAAAAGATACTTGCATATGCATGTTTATAGCAGCACAATTTGCAATTCCAAAATTGTGGAACCAACCCAAATGCCCATCAATCAACAAGTGGAGAAAGAAACTTATTCAAGCACAGTCCCTGACTCCCATAGCCTTCTTTTTTGTTATAATGCCAGGTGTGTTAGGCCTTGGGGGCAGGCCTCAGGAAACAGAATCTCTCTGGCCTTTTCCTGCTCTCCTTTCACCTACCCCAAGGCAGGACTCTAATCTTGCTGATTGTGGGTCCTAAAACTCTCCTGAGAGCTCCTGCTCTATGCCTTGGAGGAAGGAATACTGATATCGTAAAGTTCCCATAAAAGCCCAAGAGGACTGAGTTTGGAGAGCTTCTGGATAGCTGACCACGTGGAGGTTGTGGAGGGTGGTGTGCCCAGGAAGGCATGGAAGCTTCGTGCTCCTCCTCCCATACATTGCCCCACACATCTCTTCATCTGTAGCCTTTGCAACATCCATTATGATAAACCAGGAAATATGTTTTCCTGAGTTCTCTGAGTTGCACCAGCAGATTATTCAAACCCAAAGAGGGGTTCGTGGCAGTCCCAACTTGAAAGCGGTTGGTCAGAAGTCCTGGAGTCAAAGACACAGGACTGGTGCCTGGTGTGTCTTCCTCAGGTAGATAGTGTTGGAATTGAATTGGAGGATACCCAGCTGGTGTCCACTGCTTGGTGATAAAAAGGAACCCCCTCACCATTTGGTCACAGGATTCTTGTGTTGATGATTGTGGCGGTGATATAACAGCCGAATGAAAACACGGGGAGTTTTCCTGGAACACATATCCACCTCATCCCCCAAAACTGAGCTCATGTTCCCCCAGGCTCACCTCATACTATGAAGCGGCAGCTGGAGGAATGCTGATGGAAAGGACAGACCAGTTAGCAGGTGCCCGTAGCTGTCTCCCCAAGGTGAGGAAGGCCTACTGTGGATGGTGGTGGTAGGAACTGAAAGGAGGAATTGAGGACATTTCATGAGAGTAAGAAGAGTCCTGTCCCTTACCAGAGGCGGGGGATGAAAGACTTGAAAGTCACTGAAGTGACTTAGATTTTCTTGGAGGGCTGGAAAGCAGGGAGAAGTAGAAAGCTGGGCATAAATTGTGGTGCCTTTAAGTGCTGGGTGGAGAGGCTCCTTTGGAGGCAATACATTTAGTTTCACATAATTGAGTTTGAACTCATGTTAAGACAGGTAAATAGAGATGGTGGCAGCTGGAGATGTTGAAATAGCTCTCTGGAATCAAAATAAAAATTGTCACTAGTACCAGCCTGGAAATGGTCATTAAGGTTGTGACACATGGGTAGAAAAGAGAATAGACTGAAAAGGCACACACATTTTTAGCTGGGCTTTCAAGATCCATTTAGCCTGGTAGGTTTTGGGGGTTTTGTTGTTGTTGTTTTGTAGAGATGGAGTTTCTCCATGTTGGTCAGCCTGGTCTCAAACTCCTGACCTCAGATGATCTGCCCACTTCGGCCTCCCAAAGTGCTGGGATTACAGGCGTGAGCCACCGTACCTGGCGGGTACTTTTTTTTTGGCCTATTTTCATATGTCAGATGAACAAAACATGGGAACGAAGGCAGAGCTGCTGCAAAGAAGGGAGAGTGAGGGGAGTGGTGGCGGGGAGGGCTTGCCTCTAAATCGTTTTCCATACAGGTGAGGAAAAGGTCCTGAGGGTGCGGTGATTTGCCCTAGGTGTTAACATCCAGTCAGTGGCAGACACAGAACCAGAACTGAGTGACGAGCTTTTCCATTATGCCCAGAAAGTTCTAAAGAAAGGTTTAAAAAACACTTTCACTTAGCTTTTCCTTCTTTAGGAACACCCCTAGTTCCCAAGTTAGCAGTTCTCCCGTTCCCCCCCCCCCCCCCGCCATGACAGAGGGACACAGTACCCATAGGCCTTTGGTCTTGATGGCCTTCTCCTGGTCCTGCTTCCCTAATGGCTCCTTCCCAGACCCCACAGGCCCTTCTTCTGCATGTGCCTTTCACAGTCCGCTTGTGTGTTCTCATCCAAATTCAGAACTTCCTCTTAGTTAAAACTGCTAATGATTCCTAAGTCAATTTCTAGCCAGACATCTGAGCTGGAGGCTTTGGTCCAGTTGCCTACTGGGCTTCTGCACCTGGTTGCCATGGCTCAGGCCTGTAACATCAAGACTTTGGGAGGCCAAGGTGGGAGGATCACTTGAGCCCAGGAGTTTGAGACAAGCCTGGACAACATTGTAACAATCCATTTCTTAAAAAATGAAACAACTTGCATTTTTAACAAGCACTTCAGATAACATTTCCAGTCAGGTTTAGGACCACTATTAGATACAATGTTATGCCAATAAACTTGGAAATCTAGATGATTTTTTTTTTACAGGTTGTAAGTGACCAAAGGTTGACCCTGAAGCCTTCTAGGTTAATAAGCATAACAGAAATTGAAAGGTTTTTAAAGATCTTCCTGCTACAAAGCCAAGACCCGATAGTCTCTTAAGCTGCAGAAAGCCCCTAACTGCTGTGTTTTCCTCCAACTTTTTGTTATGAAAGCTTAAAATTTTTAAACTTCTACGAACTTTTAATCTAGTACCATGAACAGCTGTGTGCCCCTCTAACGTTATTAAATGTTAGATTTAATAATTAACATTTTTGCCATATTTGCTTTATCTGTATGTGTTTTCTTTTTGCTGACAAGTTTCAAGCCAAACATTCCGACAGTTCATCCCTAAATCATTTTCTAAGAGTGAAGACACTGGCACAATCACAATACTATAGCACACAAAATAATTCATGAAAGCATCCAATATCTCATTCATATTTAAATGTACTTAATTGCCCCCAAAATGTTTTAATAGTGTTCTTTTACAAACCAGGATCTGTTTCAGTATAATTAAACTATGCTGGGCATTCCAAAAGGTGGTAAGTTGGATTTTTGTTCCACTAGTCTGACAAGGTACAAAAACACAAAACACAAAAATTAAAACGCAATCTAATAAATAAAAATGCAAAAATCTTAGTCTATTAGGCTGGGCGCAACAGGTCACGCCTACAGTCCCAGCACTTTGGGAGGGTAAGGCGGTAGGGTTGCTTGAGCTGAGGCGTTTGAGAACAGCCGGGGCAGCACAGCAAGACCCTACCTCTACTAAAGGTAAAAAACTTAAAGAACTAGCCGGGCGCGGTGGTGCGTGCCTGTAGACCCAGCTACTTGGGAGGCTGACATGGGAGGATCGCTTGAGCCCGGGAGGTCGAGGCTGCAATGAGCCGAGACTGCTGCACTGCACTCCGGGTTGAGTGGATGAGTGAGACCCTGTCTAAAACAAACAAACAAAACGAAAAAGAATATTAGCAAAGAGATGACAACGTATTCGAGAGCGGACTTGTTGAGGGCATAGTGTAGAACCCTCAGCATCTTTCCCGTTGGCCTAGCAGCCTTGTAGTCAGATCCCACAGACGTCTCGCGTGCCTAAACCAACCAGGTCATTCCGTCCCCGCCACAGCGACGTGGTCAAATAGCTCAAGCCCATCAGTATACGGTGTCACTCTGGCCACAGAGGCGATTCAACCAGCTCGAAGTTCAGTCTTTTTCGGAGAAAGGGCAAACGCTACAAATCAGGGCTTTCCTCCCTGAAAAGTCTGGTTGTTAAACATTCACAGCACGCCACCTCGACTTAGGCCGTTCCCTTTTGCCCTTTGCCTTTGGAAGCATGCTTTCTCCGCCTGTCCAGTTAGTCCGTCCTGGCGTTCGAGGCGCGCTGGAAGGAATGCAGATCCCTCTCCTCGGGGCCGGGAGGGGCGGGGCCTCTGACGTGGGCCCCGCCCACCGCAGCGCCGCCGCGCTCCGCTCGGACGCCAGCGCTCAGACCGCGCCGCTGTTGCTGCCTGCCGGGAGAGCCATGGCCAGTAAGTGGCGCGGCCGCGCGCGGCAGCCAGAGCGCGGCTCGGAGGGGAGGCGTTGGAGCGGCGCGCCGGCTAAGCCCCTCCGTCCCGCGTGGCCGCCTCGCGCGGCCTTTCCTGACGCCGGCGTCCGCGTGGGTCCGGGATGGCGTGGCGGGGCGGCCAGGCGCGCTCCCGGGATTCCAGGCTTCCGGGGCGGTGGGCCAGGCCCCGAGAACACAAGGCCGCCCGGGCCGCGCCGGCAAGCGCTGCGTCCCGCGTGAAGAGGCTGACGGACGTGGGGTCTGGACCTTGTGGGCCGCGGTGGTGGGATCGGACTCTTTGGGTGTTTTCAAGTCGCGTGGCCTCCTCCAGCCCGGCCCTGCGCAGAGGTGCCCGGGCGGTTCCGCCCCGCCCCGCCCCCTTCTCACGTTCCCGCTCCGGATTTTGACTTGGATTCTTGCTGTGTCACTGACTTTGATCTGTGACTTTGTGCAGCTTTCCCCCTGCGAATCCCCTGTGTCTTTATCTGTAAAATGATATCAATGATACCTCACAGAAGTTTATGTGTGAAGGACCGGGCTCATTGCTTTAAATGTTACCCCCTTTTTGGTCCCTTCGCTCACAGCATTTACTTCTTTTCCCTCTTTAGTAAGGCCTCCGTTGTTAGATGATGATGAATATTAGGGCAGCCTTAAAAGTCATTGCGTCTTCACTTTACGGATGGGATGGAGTGACTGGCGTCTCGTCCTCAGCACGAGGCACTTTCGGTTGGCGGGGTTTCCCTGCTGCAGCACGTCTGTAGAGTGGGTCATTTGCAGAACGACAGGCAGTCCCAAGCTTAGTTGAGGACCCCGCCCTTGTGAGTGGGATGTGTAGGACAGGAAGCCATCATTATAGCCGTGGCGAGCGTTATCTTTCCCCACCTCAGAGGCAGAGACAGGGTCTGGTGTGTGGCTCATGCCTGTAATCCCAGCACTTTCCGAGGCCGAGCAGGAGGATCGCTTGAACTCAGGAGCTGGAGTTGGAGACCAGCCTGGGCAGCGTGGTGACACCTTGTCTGTACTAAAAATAAATAAAAAATTAGCCCGGCTTAGTGGCACACTCCTGTAGTCCCAGCTACTTGGAAAACTGAGGAGGGAGGATAGCTTAACCCCGGGAAATGGAGGGGAGACGTTTAGTGGATTTGTCTGCTGTTCTGGTAACAGCTCAAATCCGTTTGCCCCAGAATAATCTCAACTTTTATTTCCTGTTTTAGTTTCCATTGATTCCCTTCAGATTCTGTAACTTTTTTTTTTTTTGAGATGGGGTCTTGCTCTTGTTAACCAGGCTGGAGTGCAATGGCGTGACCTTGGTTCACTGCAACCTTCGCCTCCTGGGTTCAAGGTATTCTCCTGCCTCAGCCTGCCGTGTATCTGGGACTACAGGAGCCTTACACCACGCCCGGCTAATTTTTTTGTATTTTTAGTAGTGATGGGGTTTCACTGTGTTAGCCAGGATGGTCTCGATCTCCTGACCTTGTGATCCACCCGCCTCGGCCTCCCAAAATGTTGGGATTACAGCTGTGAGTCACTGCGCCTGGCCCCAGATTTTTTAACTATTTAGCAGGCTGCATATAGGATTGAATTTAGCTCTTCTCACTATATTTAGCGTAGATGAAGGAATGGGACATCTGAGTTTTCCTACCTTTAGTTAACCTTGAGCCAAACGCCTTCATCAGAGGCTGAGGTTTGTCATTGTTGCCTCTTCTGGAGACATTTGCATTGTTACAGGAAAATATGCAAAGAGATAGCTCTTTAGTGGTAGGATTTTCAGACTCTGGAGCAGGTAAGATGGGACGTTAGGGCAGGCCATTACTAATAATTCCTGAAGTTTTGCCTGGCTTCATAGGTTAGGATGTGCTTTGGATCCATTACTGTGGCATCCCCTCAGACTATGAGTAGGAACTATGTATCCATCAAAGTCCAGGCAGGACATGGAAACCACACTGGCAACTGGAACAAGGAAAAAAAATACTTTTTTTTTTAGACGGAGTTTCTGTCATCCAGGCTGGATTCCAGTGACGCGATCTCCACTCATTGTAACATCTACCTTCCAGGTTAAAGCGATTCTCCTGCCTCAGCTCCTGAGTAGCTGGGATTACAGGTGCCCGCCACCACGCCTGGCTAATTTTTGTATTTTTAGTAGAGACGGGGCTTTACTATGTTGGCCAGGCTGGTCTCAAACTCCTGACCTTAGGTGATCCATCTGCCTTGGCCTCCTAAAGTGCTGGGATTACAGGCATGAGCCACCACACCCGGTGGAAAATGTTGTATAAAGAATTATCTGGCCAGGCATGGTGGCTCGTGTTTGTAATCCCAGCAGTTTAGGAGGCTGAGGCAGGAGGATTGCTTGAGCCCAGGAGTTCAAGACCAGCCTGGGCAACAAAGTGAGACCCTGTCTCTACAAAACAATTAAAAAATTAGCCAGTCATGGTGGTACATTCGTGTGGTCCCAGTTACACAAGGGGCTGAGACAAAACACAAGGGGCTGGACCTCCTAGGCCTGAACCCAGGAGGTTGAGGCTGCAGTGAACCATGTTTGTGCCACTGCACTCTAGCCTAGGCAACAGAGCAAGACTCAGCCTCAAAATTAAAAATATTAGCTAATGAAAAGTGATTATCATAAAAGCTAAAAGGGAACTCTAAAGAATAGAAAAAAAGCAAATATAATGTATAGCTACTACTTCCAACAAGGAATAAGTTTGGAGGAGCCCCCAGCCTCGTTGCTCCAGGGCTGAGCACAGACCTTGTCAGGGCTGGCTACATAATTTGTGGGGCCCAGTTCCCTTGTTCAGATAGCAGGACAAAACTGCTATTAGCTTTTCCTTCTGCAGTATGTCTCTCAACCTCTCATGGTGTTCTTTGCTGTTTAATGTCATATTCCCTTGGACACAGGAATATTTATGGGGTGGTGACCCCTATCCTGTGACTAGGCATGTGTGCCTGGGACTGTTATCCTGTGGCTAGGCATGTGTGCAGCCCAGTGGCTGCCAGGTTTACCCTCTGCCAGCAGTGGGACTGATGTGCTATGACCCAGCCAGTAGTGGGGAGACTGAGACAGACATCTTCCCTTCCCATGAGCTGGCTGCCCCAATTCACAGTATGTGAGCAGCTTCCAAGAGATTGCACAGACTTCCAAGGGATTGCACTTTCTGTACTGGGCATACTCAATATACGGATTGGAGGTAGGCGGGAGGCCCAAGAACAAATAGTAAAGGACAGGACATATTCAAATAGTAAGGGACAGGACGTATTCAAACCTAGTCTGTTTACTTTAGGCCATATTCTCATTTCACTTCCTACCCTGCATAGTAAGAAGCTGGTTCACTCTAGATTCTTGTGCCTCCATGGGACTTTGCCCATGGATATTGCTCTATCTCAAGATAGACTTTAGCACTCTTGACATTTTGGACAGGATAATGCTTTGTTGTGTTGTGGAGGAGGCTGTCCTTTGCATTATAGGTTGTTTGGCAGTATCCTTGGTCTCTATTCATTAGATGCCACTCATACCTCATCAATTGGGGCATCAAAGGTATCTTCAGACATTGTCAGATGTCCCCCAGAGGACGTAATTGCCTTCCATTTGAGAACCATGGCTCTGTCTGAATTCAGCAGTTCGATCTTCTGACAGCTGTTTTCTTTTGTCTTTGTCTTCAGCTTTCCGCTTGGCCCTCATCCAGCTTCACATTTCTTCCATCAAATCAGAAAACGTCACTCGAGCTTGTAGCCTCATCCGGGAAGCAGCAACACAAGGAGCGAAAATAGTTTCTTTGCCGGTCAGTATGGAGGCAGCCATCCCGTTCTGGCCACTGTAGACCCAGCAGAACAGTGTTTGCTAGCTCTGCTTGTCCTCTTGTATCTTGGGGTCCAGCAGTGTCCCTTGGAGCCTTTAGATTGCTCTGTGTTTGACTGGAGGATGACCTCAGCAGGGTTCTTTGTGAGGTAGGATGTGCCAATATGGTCATAGGTCTTTAATTTTGGATTTTCCTCTTTGTTCAGATGAGGAAGCCAAAATCCTAGTATATTGAGGGACTTACGGAAAACTGAAATGCTCGGTGTTTGGATACTTTGTTCCTTATACAATTAAGTCTTTACAGGATCAGAACATGTTGGCTTTATCACTAAGCCTCCAACTTTTTTTTTTTTAATGAGCTCTGGGAGAGCTCATGTGACTTGCCTCCTCTAACCCCACTGGGCTAGCTTTGTAGTCTCTTTACCCTTGAGGTGTCAGTGTTTTTATTATTAGCTGTGTTTTTTTTGAGATGGAGTTTTGCTCTTGTTACCCAGGCTGGAGTGCAATGGCGTGATCTCTGCTCGCCACAACCTCCGCCTCCTGGGTTCAAGCAATTCCTCAGCCTCCCGAGTAGCTGGGATTACAGGCACATGCCACCATGCCCAGCTAATTTTTGTATTTTTAGTAGAGACGGGGTTTCACCATGTTGACCAGGTTGGTCTCAATCTCTTGACCTCGTGCTCCACCCACCTCGGCCTCCCAAAGTGCTGGGATTATAGGCTTGAGCCACCATGTCCAGCCTTTTAGCCAGTGTTTTAACCCTTCAACTGAAAGCAGAGCTAGAAGCAGCAGCTGTGGCCTCTTACAGCAGAACTTTAAAATGGTTGGGTATTTTGATCTTTTTCTTCTTTGCCAACATTTTTCTAGGAATGCTTCAATTCTCCATATGGAGTGAAATATTTTCCTGAATATGCAGAGAAAATTCCTGGTGAATCCACACAGAAGCTTTCTGAAGTAGCAAAGGAATGCAGCATATATCTCATTGGAGGTAACTTCCTACCTACCAGGTATAATGGCTTAAACATTAAAAACATCTGAATGAGCCGGGTGTGGTGGTATGCACCTGTATTCCCAGCTACTCAGGATGCTGAAGCGAAGAGTTTCTTCTTATTCTATTTTTCATTTTTTTGAGGTGAGATCTTGCTCTGTCACACATTATGGAGTGCAGTGGTGCGATCATGGCTCACTATAGCCTCACCCTTCCAGACTCAAGTGATTCTCCCACCTCTTAGCCACCTGAGTAGCTGGGACTGCAGGTGTGCACCACCATGCCTGGCTGATTTTTCTATTTTTTTCGTAGAGAAGGGGTTTCACCATGTTGCCCAGGCTGGTTTTGAACTCCTAGGCTCAACTGATCTGCCCACCTTGGCCTTCCAAAGTACTAGGATTACAGATGTGAGCCATCATACCAGGCCTATTTTTTATTATACTAGTAGAGGATTTAGAATAAAGATTTTTTTTTCATAGAGGCCACATACATAAAGGGGGTTTTATTTTTGTGGCTTTGGAATAAATGCTTAAAGGTTTTATTTGCTTAAATAAAAAATAAGCACAGGGCCAGGCATGGTGGCTCGCTTCTGTAATCCCAGCACTTTGGGAGGCCGAGGTGGGTGGATCATGAGGTCAGGAGTTCAAGACCAGCCTGACCAATGTGGTGAAACCCCATCTCTACTAAAAATACAAAAATTAGCCAGGCATGGTAGCGCATGCCTGTAGTCCTAGCTACCCAGCAGGCTGAGGCAGAAGAATCACTTGAACCCGGGAGGTGGAGGTTGCAGTGACCCAAGATCACACCATTGCATTCCAGCCTGAGCAACAGAGTTTAAGACTCTGTCTCAAAAAAAAAAAAAAGCACTTTAAAAGTTCTATAAATATAGCAAATAAATATTTTTCTGTATGATTATATATTAAGAATTAGAAATGGGCTGGGCAGGGTACTCAGGCCTGTAATCCCAGCACTTTGGGAGGCCAAGGCAGGCGGATCACAAGGTCAGGAGTTCAAGACCATCCCCGCCAACATGGTGAAACCCCGTCTCTACTAAAAATACAAAAATTAGCTGGGTGTGGTGGCGCACACCTGTAGTCCCAGCTACTCATGAGGCTGAGGCAGGAGAATCACTTGAACCTGGGAGGCAGAGGTTGCAGTGAACCGAGATCATGCCACTGCACTCCAGCCTGGCTACAGAGTGAGACTTCATCTCAAAAAAAAAAAAGAAAGAAAGAAAAAAGAATTAAAGATGAAGGCAAAGCAAGCCTGGAGATGAAGCCGCATGCAGCGATGGAGAGGCTTCTGACTTTATATTGTCATTTTTGGGATCCAGTTTGTTGCAGGACGTGGTGAATTCAAGTTAAGCAATGGGAAATTTTTCATTTTGCTCTAATGTTACAGATTAAGTGTTGCTCAAGGTCATGATTGAATTTCAGGAACAGTTTGGTTAGTTTTTAAACCTGTCTTTGGCATCTGACCTAATCATATCCCATCTACACTCTGGAGTTTATCTCTGAAAGATCATATTGAGGAAGGAAAAAAAAACCATGATTAAATAACCCATAGAAGGGAATACTTATTCTGTATTATAGGGTGAGGTGTTGCCGTATTCTAAAAACAAAGTGAATAAATCAACTGTGAAAATGGGTTCTTTATTTTCGGACCCAAGTTATCAGGCGCATATTCCTTTCTCACAAAAGAATTGCTCTATTCTTTTTCTCTGGTATGTTTCTTCTCTCAATGAAAGGCTCTATCCCTGAAGAGGATGCTGGGAAACTCTATAACACCTGTACTGTGTTTGGGCCTGATGGAACTTTACTAGCAAAGTACAGAAAGGTAAGTAGGAATTGTGGCAGAATTTATTATCTTCAAGCCAGCAATGATGTGTGGAAAAAAAAAAGAATGCTATGAAGTCCCCTAGTCTCTCTCGTTATATCTTACATGCATTAGGGTTTTGACTGATTGGCACAGGTGGTTATTCTTGGCCATTTACATTGTTATATAAATTTTAGACTTAACCTGTCAATTTCTGCAAAGGAACAACCTATAGGAATTTTTATTAGTATTTCATTGAATATATAGAGAACACTTTGGGAAGAGTTGCCATCTCTCTGGTATTAAATGCATACACATGGCCAGGTGCGGTGGCCCATGCCTGTAATCCCAGGCTGAGGCGGTTGGATCACCTGATGTCAGGAGTTCAAGACCAGCCTGGCCAACATGGTGAAACACTGTCTCTACTAAAATACAAAATTAGCTGGGTGTGGTGGCGCATACCTATAGTCCCAGCTACTTGGGAGTCTGAGACAGGAGAATCACTTGGACCTGGGAGGTGAAGGCTGCAGCGAGCCGAGATCGCAACACTACAGTCCAGCCTAGGCAAGACAGAGCGAGACTCTCTCTCAAAAATAAGAAAAATGCATATACATTTAGTATCATTAAGTTTTCTTGATGAATTGGCCCTTTTATCTTTTATTTCTTGTAATACCTTTTGTCTCAAAGTCTGCTTTATCTTGACTCACTATAGCCACTTCAGGCTTCTTATGCCCACTGCTTGCTGATACGTGGTTTTTCCAATTATTTGTTCTCAAGCTATATGTGTTTTTATATTTTAAATGGATCTCTTGTCAACAGCATATAATTGTGTCTTATTTTTTTCTTTATTTTGACAATGTCTTTTAATTGAAGTGTTTAATCCATTTATATTTAATGTATTTATTGATATGATTGAGGGATACAGACATTTTACTTTTTTTCCCTTTGTTCCTCTTTCCTGTATAATTTTGGATTAATTGAATTTCTTTAGAGTTCTACTGGCTTTTTAGTTATGCCTCTCTGCTTCCCCCCCTCCCTAGTTGTTGCCCTGAGAATTATAATATGCATCCTTAACTTTTACAGACTACTTAAGAGTTAATATTATGTTACTTCATGTGAAATTTAAGAACTTTATAATGAGTTGGACTTGGTGGCTCACACCTGTAATCCCAGCACTTTGGGAGGCCATGGCGGGTGGATCATGAGGTCAGGAGTTTGAGACCATCCTGGCTAACCTGATGAAACCCCATCTCTACTAAAAATACAAAAAATTAGCCAGGCATGGTGGCACATGCCTGTAGTCCCAGCTACTCAGGAGGCTGAGGCAGGAGAATTGCTTGAACCTGTGAGGTGGAGGTTGCAGTGAGCTGAGATCGCGCCACTGCACTCCAGCCTGTGCAACAGAGTGATATTCTGTCTCAAAAAAAAAAGAACCCCATTGCCCTGCCCTCATTCCTTATGCTGTAGTTGTCATTTGTATTCCATGTATATATGTTATAAATTCCACAAAACAGTAATACTTGATTCAAGTAGTCATACGTATTTGAAAGAAATTAAGAAGAAAAAAATCTTTATGCTTACCCAAATATTTATCATTTCTGGTGTTTTTCTTTCCTTCCTGAAGATCCTTCTTCTGTCTGATGTATCTTCCTTCAGAACAAAGGCTCTCCTTTAGCATTTTTGTACTGAGGACCTGTTAGCTAGAAATTCTGTTAGTTTTTGTTTATGAATATCTTTACATTGCTTTCATTCTTGAAAGATATTTCTGCTGGAATAGAATTTGGGATTGACAGTTTTCTTTTTTTTCCCACTAGTAGTTGTTATCTAGCCTTTTTTTTTCTTCCGTGATGACAAGTGAGTAGTAATTTGTATTGTTCCTTTGAATATAATTTGTTGTTTTTCTTTTCCTCTTTTCAAGATGTTTTTATAATCTTTAGTTTATAGTATTTGGACTTTGATGTGTCTAGATGTGGTTTCCTTTGTCTTACTTGGTACTTCTTGGACCTGTAAATTTAAGTCTTACAACATATTTGGGAAATTTCTTGACACTATTTTGTTAAATATTTTACTGTCCCTTTTTCTTATGGAACTCCATTATACGTATGTTATATTTTTAAATATTTTTCCAAGGTCACCAGGCTCTGTTTTTCTGTTTTTCCAATACTTTTTCTTTCTCTTCTACAGATTAGATAATTTCTGTTGATCTTTCAGACTTATTTACTGTTTCTTCTGTCTTCTTAGATTTTCTGTAAGCTAACCCAGTGAATATTTTAAAATTCAGATATTAAAATTTTCGGTTCTAAAATACCCTTTGCTTCTTTTTTATAGTTTTTATTACTCTATGATATTTTCTCTCTGTTCATTAAGAGCATATTTTTCTTGACACTCTTTAGCTTAGTTTCTATAGCTGCTTTAAAATCTGATAATTATCACGTCTGTGTGCCACAGAATGAGACTATTAGGCCTTTAAAAGGCCTTTAACGTAAATAAACTAATGTCCAAACCAAAAATATATATATAATAACATCTGGGTCATGGCAGGATCTGTGTTCATTTGATTGCGCTTTCTTTGGAGTTTGGGTCACATTTCTGTTTCTTTTAGTATCTACTAATTTAGGATAATATAGTGGATTATCTATTGTAGAGATTCAAGATTTTATAATAGTGTTCCAAAAAGTGTTGAATATTTTGTTTTAACTGGTGGTTAACTTGGCTGCACTTAAACACCAAACTCTTATTTTCTTTGTAATGTGGGCGGCAACTTGAGCTGCTCTATTCTATCTGGTTGTTCTGCCCCACTTCTATTTAACTCAGTGATCAGCCAGAGATTTAGGAAGATTTTATATGTAGAATTTAGAATCTTGCTGTCTGCTTTCCCCATTTCAGGATTTTCCCCCATGGTTTCTAGCGCTGGTTCTTCAAGCCAGTGTGATTATGGGTAATTTTCACCACCACTTATCACAACAACGGGGACCTTGCCTCAGGGTAACAGCTGTCCAATGGTAGTGGGTTATCAGAACTTACTAACATTAGTGTTACTAAAGTTGGTATACAACCCCCCACGGCTATATTTGACTGGCTTTTAAAAAATAAAAAAAGAATAGCAGCTGTTACCTGCTTCCACGTGTTTGTGTTCCTCTCTTCAGGTTCTGCCTGCTGGTGTTTTTTGATCATTCTTCAGTGCCTTAAGTAGTTGTGCCTTTTATTTTGTCCAGAGTTCATAGTTAAGCAGAAGAAAGCTGGTCTGATAGGAGCTACTGTGCACATACAGGAAGAGCAGCCAACACTGGGCTAAGAACCCATCTCTTTGAAGTGTATCTTTTTAGTGTTAAGTTTTCCAGTCCATGAATGTGGTTTATATCCTGACATTTATTACGCTTTCTTTAATTTCTCTCAATTTCTTTTCACAGTTTTTTGGGTGTAATTTTGTGTAACATTTGTGAGGTTTATTCCTCATTGGTGATTTTAGATGCTCTTTCATTTTCTGTTTCTTTTGTTTGTTTGTTTTTAGGTGCAGTCTTGCTCTATTGCTCAGGCTGGAGTGCAGTGGTTTGATCTCGGCTTGCAGCAGCCTCCACCTCCCGGTTCAAGCCATTCTCTTGTCTCAGCACCTCGAGTGGCTGGGATTACAGGCATGTGCCATCACGCCTGGCTAGTTTTTGCATCTTTAGTAGAGACAGTGTTTTACCATGTTGGCCAGGCTAGTCTTGAACTCCTGACCTTAGGTAATCTGCCTGCGTTGGCCTCCTAAAGTGCTGGGATTACAGTCATGAGCCACTGTGCCTGGCCCATTTTCTGTTTCTTGCTGTTATATAGAAATACAGCAAGTTTTTAAAATATTGACTTTGTGGTGAGGCACACTGGCTCATGCCTGTAACTCAGAACTTTTCAAGGTAGGGGCAGGCAGATTGCTTTAGTTGAGGAGTTGGAGACCAGCCTAGGTAACATGGGAAAACTCCTCTACAAAAAATGCAAAAGAAATTAGCTGGGCGTGGTGGTGTATACCTGTAGTCCCAGCTATTCAGGAGGCTGAGGTGGGAGGATTGCTTGAACCTGGGAGGTCAAGGCTGCAGTGAGCCGATCCATCACATCACTGCACTCTAGCCTGGGTGACAGAGCAAGACTCTGTCTCAAAAAAAAAAGTTTTTTTTAAATGAAAAGAACCTATAGCAACCTTACTAAAGTCACTCATGAATTCTAATAATTTATCTGTAGATTTTTGGTTTTTTTTTTAGTTTCTAGGTATATAATCATCTGAGAATAATGACAGATTTCATTTTTTCTTTTCAGTTGTTATTCTTTTTACTTCTTTTCTTTTCTTTCCTGCTCTGTTTAGGATCTCTGGTACCTATACCAAGGATACCTATCCTGGTCTTGTTCCCAATCTCAGAGGGACAGTTTTCAGTATTTCATCATTAAGTATGATGCTTGTTGTTTAGGTGTTCTGCAGATAATCTTTATCAGATTAATAAAGTTCCTTTCCTGGAAGTTTTTCTTGTGTTTTTAAATCGGGAATGGCTGTAGAAGTTTACCGAATGCTCAGACATCTTTTGAAATGATTATGTGATTTTTCTTCTTTATTTTGTTACGTTAGTAAATTACATTGATTGATTTTCTAATCTTAAACAACATTTGCTTTCTTTGAATAAATCCAATTTGGAAGTGGTGCATTATTTTTTTGCTGAATTTGGTTTGCAAAATTTTTGTCTATTTTTAAATGCCCACCCACTTTCCACCTCTCCTGAGAAATCTATTTTTTTTTTTTTTTTTTTTTTTTTTTAGATGTAGTATTTCTGTGTCACCCAGGCTGGAGTGCAGTGGAGTGATCTGAGCTCACTGCAACCTCCACCTCCTGGGTTCGAACAATTCTCCTGCCTCAGCCTCCTGAGTAGCTGGGACTATAGGCATGTACAACTACACCTGGTTAATCGTTTTTTTAATATATTTTTAGTAGAGGTGAGGTTTTACCACGTTGGCCAGGCTGGTCTCGAACCCCTGACCTCCTTGGTGTCCCAAAATGCTAGGATTAGAGGTGTGAGCCACCTGATTCTAAGAAGTCTTTATTTAGTATTTATATTTTTAAAAAGCAACACATTAGTTACCTCCCATGAGAAACCTGGATGTTGATTTGCATATCACATAGAAAATAGGGGCTATAAAAGGTACAGCATCATTTTTCCAGTTTCCTGTGGTAGCATTCATTTTGGTAAGGTGTTAGCCAGCTTGTGGAGTGGATTATGAGCAGTTTGGGGCTGCTGTTTGTATAGCTGATCTTACAACACTTTCCACATCCGCCCACGGAAAGATAGTGCCTTTACTGCTATGAACCGTGCTGGAAAAGAGGTAACCAGATCCATTATTTGTGATGCAGATCCATCTGTTTGACATTGATGTTCCTGGGAAAATTACATTTCAAGAATCTAAAACATTGAGCCCGGGTGATAGTTTCTCCACATTTGATACTCGTATGTACCAGATAAGTTTGCCTCCTTAGCAATCTCAATAGAAGACCATCAGGTATTTATTTCTTTTTTGTCTCTCTCCAATTTCTTCATCTAACCTAATTGAAAGACTGTAAGTGAGAAAGGCAGAGAATCATCAGAGATCTGGAAAGTTTGGGCTTAATTGAGAACTAAGGATTTGACAGAAGTTAGCCCTTTGATTTGATTGTAGCTTCCTGTTATGGCTTCCAGATTTTACTTATTAGGCCACGGTTGGGTACCTCCCACCTAGAACATAAGCATTCAGTTAGAATGAATTTCATCTTTACACTGCTGATGCAAATGATGTCTTCCCGAGATGAAATCTAGGAATGAACTTACAAATTGTCTCTTTCCTCAGGTCCTGTGTTAATGCATCCCTGTCAGTGTTATGTGATCATTAAGTTATGGAGGATTTCCCCTGCCGCACCATGCTGTAGGAAGTTAACTTTTCATTTGTGCATTTTCTGTTTGGAAACAGCTTACTGCAGAGTGGGTCTGGGCATCTGCTATGACATGCGGTTTGCAGAGCTTGCACAGATCTACACACAGAGAGGTGAGGCAGTGCAACAGTTGCGTTATGTGGGTGCTTGGAGGCTTGGTTCCAGGCTGGTCTGTATGGGATCCTTAGTCAAGAAAAGCTGGGAGAGCGCTCTCAATCTCTCCATCTCCAGCCTTTTCACCCCCTTGAGGCTTCCTAGACTTCTTTTTTTTTTTTTTTTTTTTTGAGACGGAGTTTCGCTCTTGTTACCCAGGCTGGAGTGCAATGGCGCGATCTCGGCTCACCGCAACCTCCGCCCCCTGGGTTCAGGCAGTTCTCCTGCCTCAGCCTCCTGAGTAGCTGGGATTACAGGCACGCGCCACCGTGCCCAGCTAACTTTTTGTAATTTTTAGTAGAGACGGGGTTTCACCATGTTGACCAGGATGGTCTCGATCTGTTGACCTCGTGATCCACCCGCCTCGGCCTCCCAAAGTGCTGGGATTACAGGCTTGAGCCACCGCGCCCGGCCGAGGCTTCCTAGACTTTTGAAGCATATAGATGACAGGGTTTTTCAGGGGTTGTAACTGAACACATCATGTAGCTAAAGTAGGAGCTGTGCTCCTAAAGGTCTGCTCTTACCCTTGAGTCCTTCTTGTTACTGTGTTTGGTGAGTCCCCTGAAGCCCAGTAGAAATAAGGTGGATTTCACCACTCCGTACTCCTAGACATTGGGTAGAGTAGAATTGTAGTCTGTGATATTTTGGTTCAGATGAGGAGAAATGTGCTAGTGTCTGGGAAGAGCCAGTTCAGAAGATGTGGATTCTAGTCCCAACTCCTCCCTTTAATTGGCACAGTGCTTTGCTTAAATGATTTAATCTCTAGAGCAGTACAGTTCTCAGCTTAGTCACAGGAATAGTATGAGGATTAAGAAGAGAGAAACTATAAAGCCCCTCGTATGGTACTCAGCAAATGCCAGCATCCTTACTAGACTGCTTGAAGCTACTTCCAATAGACTGTCACTTAACAGAGTGAAGTTGGTAGAAATGGTTTGACTGCCCACCCAGAAGGTGGAGGTGCATGGGCTCTGGGGTCAAGCATTAGGGCAACTACCCTGCCCCTAATTTTAGTTGAAAAGAATTATAAAACAAGGCCATTGGCCATGTGGAGCCGACATATGGAGCTGAGAAAAACTTTGTTTTGTTTTGTTTTGTTTGAGATGCAGTTTAGCTCTTGTGGCCCAGGCTGGAGTGCAGTGGCTCAGTCTTGACTCACTGCAATCTCTGCCTCCCAGGTTCAAGCGATTCTCTTGCCTCAGCCTCTGGAGTAGCTGGGATTACAGGTGCCCACCACCATGTCCACCTAAATTTTGTATTTTTAGTAGTTACAGAGTTTCACTGTGTTGGCCAGACTGGTCTCGAACTCCTGACCTCAGGTGATCTACCTGCTTGGGTCTCCCAAAGTGCTGGGATTACAGACTTGAGCCACTGCACCCAGCCAGAGCTGAGAGAAATTTGAATGACAGTTCTCTACCTTATTTTTGTTTGTTTTGAGGCAGGGTCTCATTGTCACTCAGGCTAGAGTGCAGGTATAATCATGGCTCACTGAAGCCCTGATCTCCTGGGCTCAGGTGATCCTCCCACCTCAGCCTCCCAAGTAGCTGGGACTCCAGGCATGTGTCACCACACATGGCTAATTTTTAATGTTTTGTAGAGATGGGGGCTCTGTATGTTGCCCAGACTTTCTGTACTTTTTTGAGTGAAGTTGATGCCAGTGGGGTAGGGAGGCCCCCAACAGGAGTGGGGCCCTGGCCCCAGCCCGTGTCCATGCCGTCAACACTATACCATTGCAAGGAGGAATTCAGGATGAGTTGGAAAATAGCGGAAGTATGGAGACTCATCACAAAGTGAAAAGTGCACACTCCAGAAGGGGCAGTGTGTGTGTGCTAAAGGAGTCATGCACAAGGAGGTTCCAGCCATCTACTTTTATGGGCTTTTTTTTTTTTTTTGAGAGTCTCCATCTGTCGCCTAGGCTGGAGTGCAGTGGTGCGATCTTGGCTCACTGCAAACTCCCTTTCCTGGATTCAAGCAATTCTGCCTCGGGATCCATAGTAACTGGGATGATAGGCACCCACCACGCCCAGCTATTTTTTTGTATTTTTAGTAGAGACAGGGTTTCATCATATTGGCCAGGTTGGTCTCGAACTCCTGACCTCAGGTGATCTACCTGCCTCAACCTCCCAAAGCACGGGGATTGCAGGCCACCATGCCTGGCCACCTTTATGGGTTTCTTTAAGGGGGTGAAATATTCATGAAGCTTCCTGGAAAAAGGTGGAGATTTCTCAGAATTGTGGTGCCACTCATTTTTTCACCAAATATGGGTGTTCCAGAAACTCTCATGGTGCTGGTGGGTGTGTGATGTAGTATGTTAATGAGCTTCTAATGAGGATAAGGAGGTCCTAGGTGAAACCTAGCTCAAATCCAGCACCACAGTGGATCCAGTTGGAATTAGCCCTGGTTTCTCAGGGTCTTAGGCCCTAGCTTATGCAGCTATTTCAAAAGTGTCCTTTTGCTAGTCCTGAGAACACCACTGCCTGGAATTTTTTGTCCTCCCCAGAACATCTGGTGTTATTTCTGTCTCAAAGTCACATGTCATTTTGGTCATCAATACTATTTTTCTTATGCATCCATATATGTGTGACTTATGTAAAGGAATTCAGAGTCGTATCTTAATTGCTGCTGGCACTGTCTGACTTGGCTGACATCATTTTATGTTTGGGAAAGTTTGAGTTCAGTCCCTGCTAGATGAGGAGCAGTGGGGAGGACTGGTGGTGGTGGGTGCTAGATGAGGAGCATTGGGGAGGACTGGTGGTGGTGGGTGCTAGATGAGGAGCAGTGGGGAGGACTGGTGGTGGTGAGTGGTAGATGAGGAGCAGTGGGGAGGACTGGTGGTGGTGGGTGCTAGATGAGGAGCAGTGGGGAGGACTGGTGGTGGTGGGTGCTAGATGAGGAGCAGTGGGGAGGACTGGTGGTGGTGGGTGCTAGATGAGGAGCAGTGGGGAGGACTGGTGGTGGTGGGTGCTAGATGAGGAGCAGTGGGGAGGACTGGTGGTGGTGGGTTCTAGATGAGGAGCAGTGGGGAGGACTGGTGGTGGTGGGTGGTAGATGAGGAGCAGTGGGGAGGACTGGTGGTGGTGGGTGGTAGATGAGGAGCAGTGGGGAGGACTGGTGGTGGTGGGTGCTAGATGAGGAGCAGTGGGGAGGACTGGTGGTTGTGGGTGCTAGATGAGCAGTGGGGAGGACTGGTCGTGGTGGGTGCTAGATGAGGAGCAGTGGGGAGGACTGGTGGTGGTAGGTGCTAGATGAGGAGCAGTGGGGAGGACTGGTCATGGTGAGTGGTAGATGAGGAGCAGTGGGGAGGACTGGTGGTGGTGGGTGCTCACTGCACCCACTGTTCTTTGGCTTTTCCCTCCCCAAGGCTGCCAGCTATTGGTATATCCAGGAGCTTTCAATCTGACCACTGGACCAGCCCATTGGGAATTGCTTCAACGAGGCAGGTAAGAAAGAAACCGTATATTCAAGCCTCTCAGTATGTCCTCTTCATGGAAAGATTTCCGGTTGGGTGGTGGTACCAGCCTTCCTGAGGTGGATTCTGCCCCTGACTCAGGATGCCCTGGTATCCAAATGCAGTTGGAAAGGAATGAGGCTATGAGGAGGACTTCTACTGCTGGGCAGTTTCTCCTCAGAAGCCACATCACCAACCTCATGGATTTTGGAAATTATGCTTTTTGTTTTTTTCTAAGAGACGGGGTCTTACTGTTGCCCAGGCTGGAGTGCAGTGGCATAATCATAACTCATTACAGACTTGAAATTCTGGGCTCAAGTGATCCTCCTGCCTCAGCCTCCTGAGTAGGTGGGACTACAAGCATGTGCCACCATGCCTGGCTAATTTTTTTATTTTTGAAGAGATAGAGCCTCACTTTATTGACCAAGCTGGTCTCAATCTCCTGACCTAAAGTGATCTTCCCGCCTCATTCTCTCAAAGTGCTGGGATTGCAGGCATGAGCCCCAAGCCCTGCTGGAACTGTGGTTTTTGCATTTTCAATACTCAGTGTGTCATGTGGGTAGTGATTTCATTTTTCTGTGATTAGATGTGGATTGGTTCCTCTTAAGTTACTTCTAGCAACGAGGACAAAGAAATCGAGACCCGCAGGGCTTATGTCTTCAGAGCCCCAGAAGCCAATGAAAAGGCAGGGGTTATTTTAGCTTGACCTAGGTAGAGATTTGTGGTCTGTACCCAGCTGATTCTGTGCTTATTCAGATTAGGATGCTTATCCTACCCCATCCTTCACAGCATCCTACTAGTCCTGGGGGTACTGCACCAAGAAACTCATTAGCAGCTCTTGTTCTTCTAACCTGTAACTCCAGGGCTTTGCACAGGCATCTTTGGCAGGTCATAGGTGCCTTTCCTTGGTTTTCCAAGGCTGAGGGGTGGTGAAGGGCAAATAGCATAGGTGTATGTAAGATGGAAGGGAAAATGAGTGTGACTGTGTGCGTGTGTGTCTGTCTGTCTATAAAGTGCTCTACAGTCCATGAAATGCTGATCTGAGATGATGGTTTTCTTTAGAATTTTTAAAAATTGAAGTAATACAAAAAAGTGTACTAATTTTAAGCATATAGGTTGGTGATTTTTCACCTGCCACCAAGGTGAACATACAGAACATTTCTAGCCCTTGAAGATGCTCCCTTTTCTGCCCTTTTCTAGTCAATACTCCTCTCTCTGCCTAGAGGTAGCCACTATTCTCACTTCTAGGGATGGTGGTAATTTTTAATGGAAGGGAAAGTTTAGGCTGGTTGCATGGTAGAAGATGGGGTAGGGGTATAAGGTGGCATGAGTGTTAATGAATATACAATTTTGTCAAAAGTAAGAAAAGTTTCTGGGATACTGAGATGACCCAGCATGGGTCTGTTAAGTCCAGAGGGCTCCCAGGTGAGGTGGTTTGGTGTACCTGGACTGCAAGCTGCAATTCTTGTCTTATTTGAGATGGTGGGACTGCCACCAGGAGCTTGGGAGCACCACATGGCCCTGAAGGTGTATTGCTTTTGCAAGGCCACTCCAGTCTCTCCAACCACCTTCACTTGTATTGACCAGAGACACTTTAATATTATATTAGCTTAAGGCAGGGTTTCTCCGCAGGTGCACTGTTGACATTTAGGCCTGTTATTTTATTTATTTATTTATTTTTGAGATGGAGTCTGTCACCCAGGCTGGAGTGCAATGGCACAATCTTGGATTGCTGCAGCCTCCACCTCTTGGGTTTAATTCTCTGGCCTTAGCCTCCAAATAGCTGGGACTGCAGGCATGTGCTACCATGCCTGGCTAGTGTTTTTTTGTTTTTTTTTTTTTGAGACAGAGTCCTGCTGTGTAGCCAGGCGCCAGGCTGGAGTGCAGTGGCAAGATCTTGGCTCACTGCAACCTCCGCCTCCCGGGTTCAAGCAATTCTCCTGCCTCAGCCTCCCGAGAAGCTGGGACTACAGTCACGCGCCACCAAAGCCCAGCTAATTTTTATATTTTAGTAGAGACGGGGTTTCACTATGTTGGCCAGGATGGTCTCGATCTCTTGACCTCGTGATCCACCCGCCTTGCCTCCCAAAGTGCTGGGATTACGGGCGTGAGCCACCGGGCCCGGCCTTTTTTTTGAGATGAGTCTAGCTCTGTCACCCAGGCTAGAGTGCAGTAGCACAATCTCAGCTCACTACAACCTCCACCTCCCAGATTCAAGAGATTCTCCTGCCTCAGCCACCTGAGTAGCTGGGATTACAAGTGCACCACCACGGCCAGCTGATTTTTGTATTTTTAGTAGAGATGGGGTTTCACCATGTTGGTCAGGCTGGTCTCGAACTCCTGACCTTGTGATCTGCCCACCTTGGCCTCCCAAAGTGCTGGGATTGCAGGCGTGAGCCACCGCATCCAGCCCTAGGTCTGTAACTCTTTGTGTGGGGCTGTCCCGTGCATGGTAGGATGTTTCGCAGCATCCCTGGCCTCCACCTACTTGATATCAGTAGCATCTCCTTAGTTGCGATAGGAGAATCTCCAGACATTGTCACATTTGGTGGGCAACACTGCTTATTGTTGAGAACCATTGGCTTATGCAGTAAGGTCACTTTTTAAAGAAAAGGTTCCACGGCTCTGGCTTTCTTCTACATCTTAGTTAGCCTGAACTATCCTGTTTTTTAAAAGAAGGATCTATCTACTAGGGTTAGAAAAATTTCAGATTTATAATGTAGGATTTACCTCTTTCCTGTCTGTTGACTACAGAGCTGTTGATAATCAGGTGTATGTGGCCACAGTGTCACCTGCCCGGGATGACAAAGCCTCCTATGTTGCCTGGGGACACAGCACCGTGGTGAACCCTTGGTGAGTGATGCCCAGTCGGAGCTTCAGTGGTGGCTCGTTGGCAGATGGGTTTTCTGGATCCTGAGCAGCCAGGCGCCCACTGCTCACTCCCATTTCCCCACATATCCTGCCAGCTTTCTGCCTCTCTGTGAGAGAAGCTTCCACTGAAAACCATGTGGGAAAGGAATCACCCTGCTCTCCTGATCAAGTGCTTGTCCTCAGCCCTCTTCTGAGTTTCTTGTGACCTTCATTGTCAGTCAGATTGGATCATGTGGGTCAACAAGGCAGCGGTGATGGGCAGCCAGTAGCAGGAGACACCAAATTACTTACCTTTTGGCTAAAATTTAAGCTGGCTGACTAGTCCGAGGACTTTGCTCCCAGCATAATGCTCAGAGGAGCAGTCAGGATGCGTTCAGTAAGTAAAACTATGACCCTCTCCCCTACAAAAGGGCGAAGCATTTTATTACTCAGTGGGCCAGCACATAAGCCTGCTCAGACGCAAGTACGGTCACACACTCACACACATTCCTTACCATCTGCATTTGTATGGTTTACATTGTACTTTCACACACGTGGTCTCAACTTGAACTCCCAGGAACTTGTTCTTACTAAGCACATTTTATAGGTGATAGAATTACAGAGATAGAGCGGCTAGCACTGGTGTTGGAATCCAAGACGTTTGCCTTCAGAACCTGGATGTGTTCCACGCTAGTTCTCTGTATGAAAGCACATTTTAGGATAAGCATACCAGTAACAAGACTGAGAAGAGTTAAATATTACTGTGGGGTTCCCGAGGGCTCAGAGCTCGATGTGTGTGGTGGGGAGGACCTGGAAGATATGACTAGTGTGAGATTCCAGTTGGCCTCCTGCACGTTAGGCTTGAGGGCATTAAAGGACTTAAGTTGACTTGAAAATTTTCTTGAATATGCATAGATTCCACTGTCCAGAGATCTTTAAATGCCAGGGCAAATTGGGAAGAATCAGAAAAGAACTCAGTTACTTGTTATAAATGGTTGTGCTTGTAGCTCATTTGTGCCAAAAGTCTGGCTATCTGGCAAACAGAATCAGTTGTTACATCAGACTATTTTGGAGAAGCTTCTAGATAAGGGTTTGAACCCTTGCACTGGGCCAAGAGACTAAGCACCGGAGATAGTTTCTTTTCTTTTTCTTTTTTTTTTTTGAGATGGAGTTTTACTTTGTCACCCAGGCTGGAGTGCAGTGGTGTGATCTTAGCTCACTGCAACCTCTACCTCCTGGGTTTGGGCCATTCTTCTCCCTCGGCCTCTTAGTAGCTGGGATTATAGGTGCACAGCACCACACCCAGCTAATTTTTTGTGTCTTTAGTACTGATGGGGTTTTGCTATGTTGGCCAGGCTGGTCTCAAACTCCTGACCTCAAGTGATCCACTCACCTTGGCCTCCCAAAGTGCTGAGATTACAGGCATGAGCCACTGCACCCTGCCTGCAGATAGTTTTACAGGTCAGCCTTACCCTGGACTTATAAAGGAGTGTGCTGTTCCCTGATGCAGGGCTCTTGCCAGTGTGAGGTTATCCTCCATCCCCCTGTGCCACTTTACCCATCCCCCAGGGGTTGAACTCTTTCCTTCAAATCTGAAACTGAAGCCCATTAACCTAGGGTTCTGGGCACCACTGCCACCAGAGCGGAGACCGCAGCAGATCAGGGGCCCTGCCTAGGCCCAGCTTCATCACCCTCGGGTAGGGTAGCAGCTCAGGCAGGTATGAATTTCAGAGCAGGTCCAGACTACCCTTGTTAAGGGGTCCCACTGAAATGCACTCATGAGGGCATGAGATGGAGCTTCCTGTTGGTGGTAGGTAGCTCTGTTCCCAGGTCTTTATAATCATCAGATAACCACCATTTCCTAGTGGTTTGCAGTTTATGAAACATGAGCCACAGTTTTATCACTAAGCCCTCACAGAGCTGTTATTTCCACTTTATAGATTAGGAAATGGAGATTTGAAATAACTTTCCACAAGCTCACAGAGCTATTTAAATGCTAGAACAGAAATCTGTACCACTACTTTCTTGTTTTAAAACTCAGACTTGCCCCTTTGGCCTGTGAGGTGGGGAGGAAGAAACAGAGCTCTTGAATATCCCCAGACACCAGTGAGTCCATTCATTCTCTCCTGCTTCTTTTTCAGGGGAGAGGTCCTAGCCAAAGCGGGCACAGAAGAAACAATCATGTATTCAGACATAGGTAAGATGTTCCCAGGCAGGGTTAGGACTCTGATGTCCCCATTGTTCTGAGGTCAGACTCCATAGCTGGGAAGTCCCTGTCATTCGGAAGGGTTCCTCCTCATTTATCTCTGAGGATATTTTCGGGTCTGGTTCTCTGGTCAGGCTCTGGGGAGTATATCAGCTTGGGTTTTCTTGGTTTGGTTTTAAATGATGCCAGGCTATCTGTCCATCTAGGCAAGACCTGTGTTGCTAAGTTACTTACTAAGACTCTAGTGGTGTATGCAGGCTGGGGATTAAATCCTCTTGGTTAATGAGGAGTTGCAAATTATTAATAGTGCACTTTCCTGTTTTTTTGCAGACTTGAAGAAGCTGGCTGAAATACGCCAGCAAATCCCCATTTTTAGACAGAAGCGATCAGACCTGTATGCAGTGGAGATGAAAAAGCCCTAAAGTTGATGTTTGTAATGTGTCACAGAACAGGAAGATATGATTCTGCAGCATAATCAACTCCCTATTAAATTCTTTAATGAAGATTTTTTTTTTAATTCAGCCTTGTCCTTTCCAGGTTCTCTATTGAGATGAGAAAACCTCATCACGCTGACATTTTCCATATCACATTAAATAGTTTAAAAGGATGCAGCCTGGAGCTGGAGAGCAGAAAGCTGGGCTGGTTCTGAAGCTTCTTCTGTACTTAAGTTGCCTCCAAGCAGTTTGTGAAAGTATCAGATCTTGGTATCCTGGTGATTGATTCACCTAATATTTGTGTCATGAACCTCTTATCCCATTGCTGGAGTTGGAATCTCCATCACCTAGAAAACATGGTCTGGTGCTATTCTTTTCTAAGCGGTACCTTGAAGTTCCATTTTGGGTTCCTGAGTAGCTATAGGACGCAAGGTAATAGATCTTCAGTGTTTGCCAGAGGAGGTGGCAGCCCCACCCCTCCTGCCAGCCTTTGGGCTCTTCACATTTAAGAAGGAGCCACTCATTCAACCCCAGGCCCTCCTGGTCTTGGAGGAAGGACTGGGTCAACAAAGAGCCTCATGGGAGAATGGCAGTCAGTGGTGGCATTTGGTGAAGGCAATATAGTATGAATCTCTGCAAAAGATTTTTTTTTTTGAGACAGAGCCTCACCTGTTGCCAGGCTGGAGTGCAATAGCATAATCTCAGCTCACCGCAACCTCCGTCTCCCACATTCAAGTGATTCTCCTGCCTCAGCCTCCCGAGTAGCTGGGATTACAGGCATCTGCCACCACACCTGGCTAATGTTTTGTATCTTTAGTAGAGTTGGGGTTTCACCATGTTGGCCAGGCTGGTCTTGAACTCCTGACCTCATGATCCACCTACCTCTGCCTCCCAAAATACTAGGATTAAAGGCATGAGCCACCTCACCCAGCCAAAGATTTTTTTGATAGCATTAAGTGTCTGAAATTCCCATTTCTTTTTTCTTTTTCCCCAGTAACACTTTCTAGCTCCACAGATAAAGAATCACTGAACCTAGTGTTTCTTAGACAGTTTGGCTTGAGAATCCTTTTGCAGTTAAAAATTAGGGACTGAGCCATGCATAGTAGCATATGCCTGTAGTCCTAGCTTTTTTGGAGGCTGAGGCAGGAGGATTCCCTTGAGTCCACCAATTTGAGTTCAGCCAGAGACCCTATCTCTCTCTCTCTCTCACACACACACACAAAATATATACACACACAGGTGCACATATACTTAAATATATACATATATAGTTACATATATACATATATTTATGTGTGTGTGTGTGTGTATATATATATATATATACACACACACACACACATACATACATACATACATACATACATACAAATAGCTGGTGGTTTATTACTGGCCCGTGTGTATGTGTGTGTATGTGTATGTGTATCAAAGACTTCAATGAGGTTTTGCTTCTGTAGCATCAAGAAGCTTGTGTGTGTATCAAAGCCTTCAATGAGGGCAGGTAATTGTTTAACAACCAGCTATCTGAGAAAAAGCCCCAATTTTGCCAGTTTTCAAGGTGTAAACACTTAACCACGGCTGAGTTCGAGCTGTCTGCATGAGAATGCTAAACAGAGTTGGGAATAGATGTACACAGTCAGCTCGTGGGAGTTGGTGCAGTCGTGTTCTAGCACACCACTGCTTTAAGATGGATATATAGATATTTACCATATTGGAAAATAAAATGGAGAAAAATTTAAAACAAGATACATGAGCACACATTTCATTAGCTATAAAGGTGAAGACATGGTGTTACTTAACCTCTGGAAAACAGCACTGTGTACTGAGAACAAGAGAAAGACAAATGCCTTTTAAAAAATTAATTTTTAAATTTACAATTGATGCATAATTGTACTTTTAAAAAAATAAGTGTACAATTTGGTAGAATTGGACATACACAGCTATAAACCACTCCAATCAAGATAACATTTACCACCCCCAAAAGTTTCCATGTGCTCTATTCTAATCCCTCTAGCTAGTCCTGTCAATCACTGATAAATTTTATTACTATAGATTAGCTTACATTTTCTAAAATATATAAAATAATGCCATTTGTACTTTTTCTGTATGTCTTTCATTCAAAATTGCTTGGATTCATCTGTCTGATGTGTGCATTAGTAATTCATTCCTTTTTTAATTCTGAGTAGTACACAATTTGTTTATTCACTTACCTGCTGTTGAAGATTTGGGCTATTTCCAGTTTTTCGCAGTTGTAAAAAAAAAAAAGCAACCTCACAGATCCTTTTAAAGGATGTCAGGTACTTTCAGGTAACCCTAGACTGCACTTTGAGTACCACTGCTCTCTATCCTAGCAGGCACACTGACAAAGAGTTAAACCTTTTAATAGTGTGAAACAATTTTCTTTTAAAAAAATATTTTGTTATCTTATTTTTACATATTTTACTCTAGTCTCATGACAGATTACATTTTCTTTTTTAAATAGAAAGTCTTACTGTAAAGCCCACATCTGTATGAAAAATGAAAGAATGGTCTGGTTGATGTGGATGTGTGGAACCTAAGAATCCTCTCTTGGATTTTCTCTAATTCCTCAAAAAACTCTTAAGAATTTCCTCCAAAGAGCTGCTCAGAATAGTTTGAAAAGCAGTGGACAAGCCACCCTAGCCGTCTTGATGCTCCAGAAGCAAAGATGCTTTATAGCGATACAGCATTCCTGTAACAGGTAAGGCAGATGGATGCTAAAACTTTTCACATCTCATTAATTTTTTTTTTAACAGAGTCACACTCTGTTGCCCAGGCTGGAGTGCAGTGGCGTGATCTCAGTTCACTGCTGCATCCTCTGCCTCTGCCTCCTGGGTTCAAGCAATTCTCATGCCTCTGCCTCCTGAGTATCTGGGACTACAGGCATGTACCACCACACCAGGCTAATTTTTGTATTTTTAGTAGAGACAGGGTTTCACTATGTTGGCCACGCTGGTCTTGAACTCCTGCCCTCTGATCCACCTGCCTTAGCCTCCGAAAGTGCTAGAATTACAGGCATGAGCCACCGCACCCGGCCTAATTTTTGTATTTTTAGTGGGATTTTGCCATGTTGGCCAGTCTGGTCTCCAACTCCTGGCCTCAAGCGATCCCCCAGCCTCAGCCTCTCAAAGTGTTGGGATTACAGGCATGAGCCCCTGCACTCAGCCTTTTGATGGTTTTGTTTTTTTGTATTTCATTAAATGAATTGTCCTGTTAGTGGTTTATCAGGTGATCTTGCCTTCTGGTCCTCTTGAAAAATAGAAGAAACAAGTGGGGGCATCTCCTATAATTAGTATGTAACATTTTATTCATAGAAAATGTGTGGGAACCTGGCCCTGGATTTTACCTTTTTACAAAGTGATATCTGAATAAAATGAACACTAGATTCCTACTTAGAGAGGAAGAACATTTTAATTGAGGCCATGGAAAAGGTTTAACTGCCATACCTCAGTACTCCCTTTCTCATGAATTAGAAATGTTTTCATTTTGTTGTTTTTTATAATAGTTTGAAGTCTGCTATCACATGTTGTGAACCTCCATCTCTTGCAGTTTAGGTAAGGCAACACATTTTTTTTTTTTTTTTTTTTTTGAGACGGAGTTTCGCTCTTGTTACCCAGGCTGGAGTGCAATGGCGCGATCTCGGCTCACCACAACCTCCGCCTCCTGGGTTCAGGCAATTCTCCTGCCTCAGCCTCCTGAGTAGCTGGGATTACAGGCACACGCCACCGTGCCCAGCTAATTTGTCATTTTTAGTAGACACGGGGTTTCACCATGTTGACCCGGATGGTCTCAATCTGTTGACTTCGTGATCCACCCGCCTCGGCCTCCCAAAGTGCTAGGATTACAGGCTTGAGCCACCGCGCCCGGCCAAGGCAAAACATTTAATGAATTCACATTTAAGTGAAGTCCTTGCAGGGATGATGACTGTTTAAATAGGTCAGGATGTGCAGGTCGTAGTGAAAGTACTACTTGACTTTGACCTAGCTCTTTGAAGCTGACCGTTAACAGATAATGAGTATTGCACTGGTTGCAAATGAACAAATAAATAACACTGTGGGGTTTTTAAATGACCAAGGAGTAGACAGATTGTGACATCGACTGGATATTTAGGGAAGGACTCCTTCATGATACCAAAACTTAGGTCTGGGCAAAGTATATCAAGTGAAAAAAAGTTTAGACAAGAGTTTAGGTTTCAGGATTAATGTTCTGCTTTATTGGCACTGGTCTTAAGCCTTTTGTGGTACTTTTTAGGCATTGCTGTGGAAGTTTTGATGGTGCGTGGGTCTGATGAAGCCAGGAGGGATAGAAAGGGAAGTGGTACGTGTGCTAAATAGGGGCTCTTCCTTATGCCTCACAACCACCTGTGTATGGCAGTTTCACATTTCCTATCACATTATTATCTTCATTCATTTCTACTTCTGAATGAAGGTTAGAGAATAAGAAAAAGCCAGTTGTTGGAAGAGAAACCATGTTAGGATGAAATGGTCTTGTTAAAATCACCAATTAAAAAGTTAAGCCTCTGATATAAAAATAACCTAAATATACATACAAGGATAGTGCTTCTTGTTCAGTGATTTACGTCATAGCTGATTCATAATCAAATGAACAAGAATCTGCAAGAATAGAATATGGTGGGCAGAGTGCAGTAATTCCAAAAGTTGTCATCCTAGCTCTTCATGAAGTATTTTGAATCCTCCAAGTATATCCCATTGTGCTAACTAGGCTTTAAGGCTTTAGCCTGTAGATTCAGTCTCAAAGTTTCTCCCTCAGAACAAAGAGCATGCCATCCTGTAAATTACTCCCTGATTTTTTTTTTCACTCAATCTTTCAGTTGCTTTTCAGATCCCAGCAGCCAGATTCTGCCCTCATCTTTCCAGTGACACTCTTCCGGCAGATTACTAAAGATTGATTTGTAGACCTGTCCATTTGGCCTCTCTCAAACTCAACATCATTGATGTGAAGTTGTTCTTAGTGCCTCTCTGACCACTTAACATTGTACCTTAGATGTTAAATGTCCTTACCGTAATAGTTTTCTTTTTAGCTCCTTTCCATTTTACATTTTGTC